AAAATGGCCGCTTCAATTTTTAGAGAATAAGGTTGTGTACACCTTGCCCCTAGATTCTAACGGCATTGGGCTCAAACAAGGTTTCTTTTGTTGTTGGACATGTGATTCACATCGAATTGCTTTGCTCAATGATTCCTATAGACAAATTATATAGGAATATTGGTATATCTAATGCAATGAGCAACTTCCAGTCAATGTCATGATAGTAGTAGTATATATATTGAATTTTCTGAAAGTTGTGGATCTTGCATGCTCATATAAGTAAATTGTGGGCTTTGATTATTTCTTTAGGATTTCGATGCAGATTGTTTTCAAGAACATTTCTGCATGATGGAGTAATTATCGTGTGCGAACAATTCTACTTAGATGCCAATCGTAACTCCTTTTATTCATAATGTTCTACAGGATTACGTTCCCACTGTATTTGACAATTTCAGTGCCAATGTAGTTGTCAATGGGGCTACAGTTAACCTTGGGCTGTGGGATACTGCTGGTAACTCTCTCAAAGGCTCTTATCAGTGTTGTGTAATCCATAAATCTTGATATCTTCCAAACTTGTAAAACTATACGTAGTACTGGTATTATTATTTTTATCTATAAAGTCCAGTGAATTCAGCTGAAGAAGTTCATCTGCTTATGTTCTTGTATGTTTAGTTTAAGGAGTGAGTTTTACTCATTAGTATAGGTCTAAGCTTGTTATACTTAAACAGGACAGGAGGATTATAATAGATTAAGACCGCTGAGTTATCGTGGAGCTGATGTTTTCATTTTGGCATTTTCTCTCATTAGTAAAGCCAGCTATGAAAATGTATCCAAAAAGGTGCGGAGTTAGTTTCTGAATAAATTTGTATCTTTCATCCCTTTTTTTCTTGTTTGTCTTTGATTGCTTGAAAATTGATTCAGACATTGATAAATCTTGTTCCAGTGGATCCCTGAGTTGAAACATTATGCCCCTGGCGTGCCAATAGTTCTTGTTGGAACTAAACTTGGTGAGAAATACATTCTTTTCAAGTATTAAATATTGTGTGCATGTGGTGTTAAGCGCATATATGATAGCAGCTCAGTTTAACTAGCTTTGTATTGAAAGTGGTCGCCCATGTTTCTTTCACCAAAGAAGTTTATAATTTTTTATGTGTTTTATTGCTTCGTGCTTATGTCAACAGATAGTCTACTATGGAGTATTATCTATAAATTTTACTTTACCTGACAAATCAATTTGCTGTGTATTGATTTGATTTTTGAGTGCTTTCTAAGTGGTATTGCCTTTCAATTTGGTGCTTTCTATGTCAATGGATAGTCTACTATGGAGTATTATCTATAAATTGTACTTTACCTGACAAAATCAATTTGCTCTGTGTATTGATTTGATATACCATACTCCCACTATATATTGTACTCAGACCTTCGTGATGATAAGCAGTTCTTTGTAGACCATCCTGGTGCTGTTCCGATAACTAGTGCTCAGGTAATTCTGTTAAATTGCATACAATGGAGGGAGATATTATCTACCCTTGTGACCTTTACAGTTCTGCTATTTGATTTGCATAGGGAGAGGAGCTCAGGAAATCGATCGATGCCTCAGCCTATATTGAATGTAGTTCAAAGTCACAGCAGGTTTGTATATTTTTGGTACTGTATATTCATTGAAGCTGTTTATGGACAGACCATTGTCACTGTAGTTATTGTCTATGAAGTAAAAAGCAGGACCGTATGGTTCGACTAAGTAAGTAGTCCAGTCACTATCAGTGAATGAGATCCAACTAGTTAAACCTACTGGTTCTTTTCATTCTTGGTTGTTACTCAATGGTATTCTTTGATGCAGAACGTGAAAGGAGTGTTCGATGCTGCAATTAAAGTTGTGCTCCAACCACCCAAGCAGAAGAAAAAGAAGGGAAAATCTCAGGCCTGCTCCATTTTGTGATCAACATATATGTAGGTCCAAGAATATACGCTATCCTTATTGAATTTCCCTTTCATTTGTCTTTGTTTCCGGTCCTCCTCGGGTGTGACATGAAGCTCTTAAGTGCCATGGTCACATGTTGCAATGATGAAAAACATTTGATTTTCTTTATTAATGATGACAAACATGATTTAATGACTAACGTTTAGGGCAGTGGCATTGCCTTTCAATTTGGTGCTTTCTATCCTCAATATTGAAAGTTTTGTAGTATAATTCTACAGTCAATTTGTGGAAGCCTAGGTATCTGAACTTTTACCTAAATGGTGCATCAACCTTGTCCAAAGTTGATGGCAATGCTAGGAGTACACCAAAATGGAGTATTTATTTGTACATAAAGCTTTCACAGCAGACACGCAATATCTGTACATGCACAGATATTGCGTGTGAATGCTTGGTGTACCCGATTTTGGTGTACCTGTAGGTTAATTCAAAGTTGATTGGTTAGGTAGTCTCTTCTTAGACCATTCCCACGTGGGGAAATATTGCACGTTTTTTTGTTGCTCCCCACCAGTGTGCTACCTATTCTCATTCTTTTTTTTTGTTTTATTTTGTCTCCATGTAAAAAAAGTTCCACAGCAATAAATTAAAAAAATCCTCATCATTGGGAAGCATTAGACAAATTTCATAAAAAAATGATGTGGAGAAGAGGGAAAACGTAGGGAGAGGTGAAGAATTTTTTTTCACACGGCCAACAATCTGAGATTCTGAGGTATTAGGGCCTCTTTTGTTTTTAGTTGAAGGTAGTGCCTAGACCTAACAAAAAATAGCTCTAACTTGTTTCTGACTCAAGATGTGTCCCGAAAATATTGATTTTTAAAGAAAGCCTTTGTTGACTGAACATCAATATGACTGTACACGAAATGACCTGCTAAAAATGGGATAAGCCTGACCGAATTTGAACCCGACAAGATCAACTTGCTAAAGTAAGAATTTTTGAAAGTCATGTACTTTAATACAAGCATGAAATATAATATGATAAAACTTTTATTTGGCAAAATAGACCCAGACCTGATAACCCGAACCAAATAACTCGGAACAGAATCAGAAATGACATGAAAACTGAAGAATCAAACACCCAAAGTGATCTGAACCGAATGTATTTAAGCTTGAGCCAGATCTAAATTCGATTGAACCTGAACTGGTTAAACCCAGAATAAATTGAACACGGAACCGATTAGACCTGAAACCGATTAGACTCGAAACTGATTAGACACAAAACCGATTGCACTGATATTGTTCTAGTTCAAAACAAATTAAACTCAAATCTAGTCAAACCTAATACTTCATTAATTCATGTCTTTCGAAGAAAAGCATATTCGAGTTAAAAGTACAACTGATTTCATGTACAAATGTTTTAGTCTGTATGTTATCACTTAAACTAAGGTGATTGTCTATTTTTATAAGAGTATATATTTAATTTATAGTGACATCGTAACAAACATTGATGGATATACTAGCACATTATTGGTGATACTTGTATATATATAGCCCCCTTTACACACAGGGAGGGGAGGCTATACACAATGCTAACATTAGCAACTCTAGTACTAGGAGATTTAATATGAAACTAGTATAAACCCCGAACCGATATAAACTTAAACTAGTATAAACTCGAATCGGTATAAACCCGAATCGATATTGAACCAAATCGAAAACGAATTAAACCCGGAACAAATCTAAACCAACGCGAACCGATTATAACATATATATTAAAGAGACCCGAGCCGAAAATATTCGAACCGAAATTGTATCACCCCAACTTGAACAGTCTCATCAACTATTCCAAATTAGAGAGTTAAGGAAAAAAATATACTATTTTTAGATAAAAATATCATATGAGCATTTATTAGAAGTAGCGGAAGCGAGTTTAGAATACAATATGTTTGTAAACACTACATCATGACAAATTTAAACTTTTTATTTAAGTAATATATTTATTCAAATAAAACACATAACCGTCTATAAGAATACAGATTAACTTGTCATGTCTAGTACTTCCACTTGTTCCAGCTAGGGCTGGACACGGTACCGGTACGGTACCGTTATCAGTGACGGTACAGCCGTTACCCGCACCGTCACCGGCCACCGATCCGCCACTCCGGTTCTAGGGAATCGGTACTGGCACCAGTTGCGGTGCTAGTTTTTCGGTACCGGCAATGGCGGTATCGGTGCCAGTTCCGGAACCCAATTATTTTTTTCCTTGGCTGGCACTTTGGCAGACCTATAAAAAAATTAAAAACAATAAAGTTCATAACCTGTTGAGTTGATCTAAAACTTGATGACACTAGGTCATGAACATGTAATTTTAAATCCGAACTCGAATTCACTCAAACTCATTATAACTCGAACTTGATCCGACTGACCAATTTACCAGTTCTAGTAGTATTTTAACGCGGGTCACAATACTCAAGAGGTGGGTGTCGCAATCTGCAGTGAGAGAGGGTAAGAACTCTATACTCCGTATGTAAACTTTCCAAATACTCCGTTGATGGGATTAACCCGATCAGATGGCGGACCAAGAACGTAACGTGGATCAGAAAGATATAATCTCGTAGTAATATTCTTTGATTAAGTGCAGAATTGCTTGAGTCGTCCTCACAATGGCGGGTTCTTTTTCCTTTTATAGTACTTCTAACATTGTAATTAAAATTATACATAATGGGAAGGATTATGGAGATCATGGGGTTGTGATTCCCTCTTTTCCGGTCTCGTTCTCTCCCCATCTCGTCCATAATCTGGTGGTGTGGGCCACGTGTCCCGCTCCTTCTCTGGACTGGGTCGTCTTGATTTAATCCATGATTGGGCCGTCCCTTTCCCATCTGTCATGCGTGTAGTAGTGGGCTCGGCCCGTTACCCCCACCTGGCCTTATCCATATTGTGCTATTATGGGCTTTTATTGGGCCTGGAGCCGGGTCCATCAGACCCGATATCCATCACAAGCCCCCTAGTTTTCTGGCAACGTGTCGCTAGAAAACTAATGATGATCCGCCTTTGGGTTTCGTGTCGGATCAGAAACGTCGCACTCGAGTGCCTTGGGTCCCTCTTTTCAACGGATATAACCCATTCCGGATTCGTCTTCTTCCTCCTTCGCTATCGAATTTCAACCCGAACCGAATTCCGGTTGTGATTTCCCCCAAATTCTCGCTCCTTCCTCCGAAATGGCTCCTGTAGATCCCGCAACCTGGACCCATGAATCCTCTATCATCAAGGAGGATGAACTTCGTGAAGTGGCCGAGCTTCTGGGCAGAGGCTTCCGGGTCCAACATCCCAATGCTGTCGGAGGTATTAACTTATCTCATAACCCAAACCCCCAGAAGTATATGGTCATGCACTACCACTCCGTGGAGAACGGGTTCAAATTGCCCCTTCACGATTTGGTTCGCGACATCTGCCACCATTTTGAATTCGTCCCTGGTCAGTTGACTGCAAATGCGCACAAGTATGCCGCGTCCTACATCTTGCGATGCTGTGCCCTGGATAGAACCCCAACGCTGGACGAATTCCTCGTCCTTTTCAGTATCGGCGGTCCTTTTTCCTACTACAGTCTATTTCCTCATCCCCAATCTCCAATTTTTGAGAGGGTTGAGTTAAAAATCGACAAGTGGGCACGCCGCTATTTTGTCATCGAGCTTCCAGTCCACAGCCCTATAGATTTTCCGGGCACTGTACGCTGTAGCTCTATCTCCCGAACACCATTCGCTGCTATACCCCAGGCGGAGGCGGCATATAACATCTTGAGAGAGGAAAGGGGTTTGATTCCGCATCACTCCCTTCAGGATACCACAAGCTATACAAGAAGGCGAATTTTTATTACCCTTTCGGTCCTGACCCCATTCTGTTTGAAGGGGTGTCTTCCCCTGAAAGGTCAAAAACTCCTCCTGTTGTGGAATCCAACCTAGCCGGGAGCTCCTCCGGGAGCCAGGCCCAAGGCAACACCACTGCCTTGGCTGTTTGCAAACCGCCTGCTGCCTTGGACGTCATTCCCATCTCTGGCATTCCTGGGTTAAGGAAACCCACGCCGTCTCGGAAACGACTACGGGAAGGGGTTACTGGCGATGATTTCCTTCCCAAGAAGAATAAAAGTGAGGGTACTCCTGCTTTGCTCAGCCCCTTGACCACATCTTCTGGTACCTAGAGTACTGCCCCTGCTTCCGCATCCGGAGGTTTGGAGTTACCCAACCCGGATAGCTTAGATCGTGAGGGGGATGAACTTCCGGACCAGTCAGCACTCAAAAGACCTGCATTGCAGCCTCAGCCTGAGGTTATCAATACCTCTCCACTAAGCACAACCATTTCCCCAAGGGGTAGAGGGAGAAGCTGACAGGCAGAAAGAGCCGGAGACTTCTCCTGCAAGAGAGAAGAAGGTTGAAGTGTAGAAAGAATTGGATGCCTCCTCCACGATGGAGAAGGAAGCTGAAGAGCAAAATTGTGCTGAGGCTCCTCTAGAGACAGAGAGAGACTGAGAAACAACAGGAACCGGGAAAACAGCATTCCACTGTCACACCCCCAGCCTTCAATCTCCCCATCCGGCGTAAGTTCACGCCGCAAACCTACCCTGCCTTTAGGGAGGGTTGGGCAGGCTTTTCCCGCGGTTTGAACTCCTTACAGGCCTCCCACTGAACTATCCAGGCAAATCTAGAGAAGATGAGGGAGTCAGTGCAAGAGCCTGCAATTCCCCAGGCACGCCCCGACTTGCTTGCCCTCAATGCTCTGCACTTCATGGAGCAGGTACTCTTCTTTTTCAAGAATCTCTTTATCCCTTTTTAGTTATCTCTTCCTTGACTTCCCTTCCCCTTTCGAGGCCCAACAATCACTCCTCACCCTGACTGAGGAGTACTTGGGTGGAGCATCAGGGAACTACCGGACCGTAGTGGTCCTGAAGGAGAAGGAGTTGGCTGTCAGGGCTCTGCAGCAGAAAGTCGACACCCTAGAACAACAAGTCCAGGTCCTCCAAGAAGAGAATGCCCGAATCAAGGCAAATGGATCAATGGAACTAGCAGCTGAAAGGTCCAGGGTCAAGTCCCTGCAAGAGCAGATTGCTATTTACCAAAGTGTTGAAACACGGGATTGTCACGTTTTTCGTACTAAAGCCGTGTTTGTTCTTATGACAGGTTTTGATAATGCCAAACCGCCGTGATCAAGTCGAACATTGAATATACAAGGCGAAGAACGAAGATAAGAGCAAGAGCAAAACGAAGACCAAGAACGAAGACCTTAGTCATAGTATTGAGTCAGTCTTTATTGTGATCAAGACCTACCCAATCTTTACACCTTGGCTCTTTAGGCTAAAATCTCTCATTGTATTTCTTACATCATAAAAATGTTTTTCAAACTTGTTTAAGTCATTAAAAACACTTGGTGTTCGCCCAAACCAAAAACCAAGCCATCCAGTGTTCGGCTTTCAGAAACCAGCATTCGGCTTTCGGTTATCGGCTTTGGTCTTTGGCATCCAAACCAACCAAGTGGTTTTCAGCATTTTATGATCTGGTTTCACTCTTTGGCATGTTTAAACGGTTCTCTAACTAAAACACTTTGAAAACCATCTTTCGCTTTTAGTCGTTTGACAAAAACCATGCAAAACGACGTAAACTTGGCTAGCCGTGGTTTTTACTCAAATTACGTGGTTTTTAAAGTAACTCACTTGATTTCTTAGCCAAATACATCAAATAAGTGTTTCAAACACTTGGTTTTTATTATGGAGAACTTTGGATTTTTCGGTCGGTTTTTGCATCGGTTGGCAAGGCCGTGGTTAAGGCAAAAATCATAGGTTTTTGGCTAACCACCCACTCAACGATGGGAAGAACATCCCATCGATGGGTAAGCGGCCCCTTAGCCAAACCAACTTCCAGAACCATGCCAAACAGCGATGGGAAGTTCTACCCATCGCTGTTAAAGCCTTGGTCCAACATCAACACAAGGCAGAACGACCTTACCCNATCGATGGGTAGGTGACCGTTGGCTTCAAAACTGAAGGAAAATTGGCCTACCAGCGATGGGTAAGGTCCATACATCGCTGGGAAGCCAATATCCTGCAGATCCTAAATTTGTTCAATCCCATAAATCAAGCCAATCACCCCTTTAATGTATTGGTCCGTTGGAGCCTATTTTGGCACTATAAAAAGGGGTGTTTGGGTCTGCTTTTCAATTCAATTCACTTCACAATATTCATATTATCATTGCATTCAAACAACATCATTTTTCATAGCTTTCTAAAGCCAATTTGTGAAGTTTGAGTTGTTCTTGAGCGTATATAGTTTACTCAACATCTACTCTAAAAGAGAGCCTTGTTCTTGAGTGTCTTAGTGTTGTATACACGTTAAGGGAAGCTTGTTTCCCTTGGTTGTACGAAGGAAAGGTATTTTCCTTCGGGTTGAAGTCTTGGAGTGCGGTATCTCCGAGCAAGTGTTGTTGAGGCTCGTGGGACTCGAGTTCTCAGGTTGTAACGATTTGTTAAGCACCCGTAAGCTTAACCGAAGTAGTGTATCTCGAGAGAGTCTCTCGGGAGGCTGGATTAGCCACAAGTTGTGGTGAACCAGGGTAAATCTTGATGTGCTCCCTTTACTATAACACCCCAACCCGCGTAACCCAAACCCGTGAGACAGCGGACCGGTGTGCCACTGGATTGGTATCCGAATATACAACATTTTCAAAACAATTTAAATCAAACATTCCAACAATACATATAAAAATCCATCGGAATAATTTAAAATAATGCAGAAGCCCTTTTTAAAGTCAAACAACTTGGGATCTTGCCCGAAAACGTAATAAACATTAAAGTTAATTAAATAAAGCATAACTACAGATTAAAGAGACAGCCACGCAATCGTACATCTCCTCCTCAATGCCCTCCGGGATCGGCTCTAGGTTCATCTGTCTGATCACCTACGGACAGCAAAAAGGAAAACAACGCTATCCGCTCAGCATTGACGCTGAGTGACACTCCATTGTAGCACAAGAATAAACATAATAATTCAATAATTAAGATTGCGCATGTATTTATCCTTTTAATAAAAATCAATTCAACTTTACATTCGGTTCTTTAGACGGTTGACCAACAGTCAACTTATTTTCTTTCTTTTCAAAACGATTTAGGTGTTAAGGGTTCCTCATTAACTCTTTGACCACCGGTCAAACCAATTTAGACTTTCATGAAAGTCAAACCACTTAACATTTATTTCCTATGACGGAGATAGCCTCAATCCGTAATACCGAAGATAGCCTCAATTCGGTGGAGGTAGGATCCCTCGAACGATAGCCTCAAACCCAAGATCACAGACCCTCGTGCGCACGTCTTAACCTCACTGACCAGGCCCTGCAGCCGCCCGAGCAATGGCCAGTTTCTATGTTCGACATAATAAACCAATTGATCCTAATTACTGATTAGAATTAATTAATTAACTTAATTAATTCATTAAAGTCTTGGATTTAACCATTAGGTCAAACCTACGTCAACAGAATATCCAGTCAAAGCCCAAGTCAAACAGGACCTAACCCAAGTCAAAGTCAAACCTGTTCAGTCAATTCACAATCCTCAACAATTCAATTCAAATAATCAATTTAATTCAATTAACCAATTTAGCCAAATTATAGCATAAACATATATAACGATCCAAACCATTAAATCTATTCTAAACGCTATTAACTTCATAGTACGGACCTGGATTACGCAGAAATCGAATCGATAGCTCGAACGGAAGACAAATCAACGAAATCAAACGAACAACGGGTCAAATTGAGTCAAAACACGAAATCGAACAATCAATCTGGCGTGGAGATTAATCTGCCGGCGGTATCAACCCGGGCAGCAGCTGGATGCGGCGACGGTGGCGGACGCCGGCGTACAGTGGCGGAGCGGCAGCTGAGCTAAGGGCGACGGCAGCTGGAGGCGATTGGCGGCGCTGCAACTCGACGGCGAGGACGACAGACGCCGGTAGTGGAGGCGATGTCCAGCGTTCGGCGTGGCGGCGCTGCAACTCGACGGCGAGGAAAGACGCCGGAAGTGGAGGCGACAAGCGGCAGCACGAGGATTGGGAATCGTGGTCGGTGGCGCTGATCCTGGTGGTGAGCGGCGGACTTCTGGCGAAGGAGAAGCAGCGGCGACTGGCTGGGGAAGGACGACCGGCGACTGGTTCAGGCGGCGATCGAAAATGAAGAAGAAGAAGATGACGATGAAGATCGTGCGGCTCTCAGATCTGAACGGAAGAAGCGTACGTTTATAAGCCTTATTTTAATATTAATAGGTTTAGTTTTTACTTATTAATCCCAATACTAGTGGTTTGGGCTCCGGGCCCAAAATACCTGATTAAACGGCCATAACATGAGCTCCATAACTCCGATTCGCGAGCCGTTTGAACCGACGTGATCACAAAAATATTTCCTACAAGATGACATAAAAGTTGGGCTTAGAATCCAAATTATAATTTTAACCCCTTTTTAGGCCCAATTCGTAATCAATTGCTCTAACTAATTTAATTAATTCTTTTGGGCCAGATTTCGGGGCGCTACATTTACGCTTTCTACGCTCTTTATCTTTCACGTTCTTAATTTTTTATTCCTGCGATTTCTACGATCAAACGCTATTCACCCCCCCTCTAGCGTTGGTCACTTATTCTAACAATTGGTATCAGAGCCTAACTCGCCTCCAAACTTAACCGTTTGAGAGTAAACGCGATCATAGGTTCTTCTTCTAGAAATTTGTATGCAGGAATATGTGAAGGGCAATCAACCACACGGCCACCTTTTTTTGATGGAACCAATTATACATATTGGAAAGAACGAATGAGAATCTATATTCGTTCCACGAACTTCCAATTATGGTTGGTTATCAAAAATGGGGAAGAGGTACCGATGAAGAAAGTCGGAGATAAGTTAATCCCCAAGACCGAGGACGAATTTGATGCTGAAGACATCAAGAAAGTAGAGAATTATGCAAAGGCAATAAACATGCTCTACCGCGCGGTCAATCCCGATGACTATCGTAAAATCTCCTGCTGCACAACCGCCAAGGAGATGTGGGATAAGCTAGAGGTAGCATACGAAGGCACGAACCAAGTTCGGGAAGCGAAAATTGACTTCCTAACGCAGGAATACGAGATGTTCAGGATGAAACCAGGCGAGAAGATTGACGACATGTTCAATCGCTTGTCGAAGATCATCAATGATCTTCACGCCCTAAAGAAGACGTATGCCAAGAAGGACTTCGTGAGGAAAATCCTATGGAGCCTCACCCCCGAATGGAGATCAAAGGCCGATGCCATCTATGAATCCATTGGAGTCTCCAACGTAACCATCGACGGATTAAGAGGTAACCTTAAAACTTATGAATCTACAATTCTAACCCCGTCTTTGGATGAACAAAAGAATAAAGGGATAGCGCTCAAAGCAACCAAGGAAATGGTTGAAGACGAATCAAGTGATGAAGACAACAAGTTTGACCTCATCATCAAGAAATTCCACAAATTTATGAAGAAAGAGCACGAGCGCAAAGGAAAGAAGCACGACAATTCCCTGAAGTGCTATGGCTGTGGCAAGATTGGCCACATCAAACCGAGATGTCCAAAAGCGAAGAACGCCAAGGACAAACATGGGTTCAAGAAGCAACGAGCATACATCTCTTGGGGAGGAGACTCCGACGATGAGTCAAGCGAGCAAGAGGAAGACGAGGAAGCAAACCTTTGTCTTATAGCTCAAGAAGAAGAGGAGTCATCCAACGACAGAAACCAAGAGGTATGTATTTCTTCTACCGATTCTTACTCTCTTGAAGAAATGCAAGAAGCTCTCCAAGAGCTTTATGACGAGTTTGTCAGCGCTTCTAAAACCAACAAAGCTTTAAAGAAACGTTTTTCTAATCTTGAAACTGAGTTTGAAAAGCTTTAAAAGGAAAACAAAAAACTAAAAGAGGAAAATAAATTTTATGGTAAAAGAAGCGCCAACAAACCCGAGAGCTCTACAAAACATTGTGACTCTTGCATAGCTTTGAAAGAACAAGTTGCTGAGTTAGAAAACACGGTGAAGAAATTTAATAAACCACATAAGAATCTTAATCTCGTTTTTGATTCTATGCAATACACTAAACAAGGAATAAGTTTTGGGAAAATAGATGAACCTAAAAATAAAGAAAAAGTTGAGCACAACCGTAAATCACCTAGAGCTCAACCTAAGAAAGATAAAAATAAAAATAATAGACAACCTAGACAAAAGGTTAGTCATGAACACGAGCATTCTAGGCAACTTAGGAGGAATTATCAAAATGATTTTATGCACAGAAATGACTTTTCAAATAGACAAAATAATGCTAGAACACCTAGAAGAGCGAATCTTCAAAATGCCCAAAAACCAATATTTTCTCAAAATAGGATGAATATGGTTAGACACCCTAGCTATTACCAACCTAGGCATATGTTCAACCCAAACGTAGTATGCCATTATTGCAATAGTATAGGACATATAGCTCCCGTGTGTTTTACCAGACATAGGCACTCCAAAAAGAAATCCTTTGGAAAAGGATATTCGTATCATAAACAATCTCCACAGGATAATGCACAAAAGAAACCGTATTATTTCTTCTACTTTGATGAAAAGAAGAAAGTCCACATTCCGTTACCGGAACCAACACAAACCACACCGAGATATCGGCACTCCGTTCAGGTAGACTGGAACCCGCCAACCACGAGACAATGAGTTGGCCAAGGTAACTCCTAAACGATCATCTAATCGTGTGTGTGTGTGTGTGTGTGTGTGCGTATTGAAACAAATTTTGGGTGTGTGTGTGGACAATAAAGGTCACCTCAAGGACCCATAGACATATTCTGGGTACCAAAGCGTTTCTTGTTTTTGCAGGGACGGTTCGAAGTGAAGAAATCTGGAAATCAGGGGGAACCAGCGATGGGTGGGTTCATACCATCGCTGGGAGGGAAGTTTATTTTTCAGAACCCCTCTTCCCATCGATGGGTACCTTCTCCCATCGATGGGTAATTGACTCTATTTTTTTTTAAAATTCTTTAACGGATTTCCAGAAACACCTTACCCATCGATGGTCATTTCATCCCATCGCTGGGTGAAGGACTTTTTGTCAATTTTTTCAGAACCTCCCTACCCATCGATGGGTAAATCCTCCCATCGCTGGGTGTTTGATACTTTTTAAAAAAACAAGTTTTATCGGATTTCCAGAAACCACCTTCCCATCGATGGGAGAATCCACACATCGCTGGGAAGGCAGTCTGATTTTCTCCATCGCTTTCCAGTAGCGACCTTCCCATCGATGGGTAGATCCTACCATCGCTGGGAAGGCGGTTGAAGTTCAACATTTCAGAACCGTTGGAGACAGCATTAATGGCACAACAGCTCTTTTTTTTCAAAATTCAAACGGGATTTCCTCCCGTCCCTATATATTCCCTTCACCCTTAGCCATTTTAAACACACTTTTATCTTCTCAAATTGCCTTCCTTAAGTCTATTCTACTCAACTCATTCATTTTTTTTCAAACACGCCACAACCATGGCCGGAGGAAAGAAGACAAAAGCTTCAAAGAAGAAGGTCACCACCGAGGCTACAAGCTCTGCGCCTCAACCTTTCCCGTACCTGGACAGATCCTTCTTGGAGTTCGGGTCGGAAGAAGAACTAACCCGCTTCCTCACTCACTTCGCCAAGCGCCCGATCTCTCCGCCTCGCGTGCTCCCGGAGTTGTTTCCCCAAGACAAAGGGTACCCCGACCTCGACAACCAACTCCAAGCGTCGGGTTTGTGGCCATTCGTCTCCAAGAGCCGCTCGAGCTTCAATCCCGCCTTCATCTGGGCCTTCTACTCCAATCTCCGCCGTGACGGGGACACCATATGCAGTAGCATCATCTCTACGACATAGAGATTGATTTGCCTACCTTTGCTCGGGTCGTAGGGCTGCCCATCCGCGGTGACGACATCGCGACTTATGGTGCCGACGATTGGATCCTCAACAACGAGGCGGTCGTCATTCGTGAGCTTGGGATCATCAACTTGATCCGCCACAGCGGCGCACCGACGATTCACTCGGCCCCACCGGACAAGCACCTCCTCCTCTACATCATCACCCTGATTCTCCGCCCCCGGGACAACAGTCATACCTCGCTCTTCAACGAGGACTTGAAGGCGATTCACGCCATCATCCACAGTGCCTCCATCAATTGGGCGAAATTCGTGATGATCCACATGGCGGATTACGCCTCCATCGCCACTGAGCGGAGCTTGCCATACGCCTTCCTCGTCATGGACCTCATCATCTCCGCCGACATCTCCATTTCCGGCCCGAATACGAAGATGACGAAGATTTGGATCATTCAAGACAGCACCTTCCGGAAGAAGTCCGGAGACCGAGACGACGCCGGACCAAGTCGTGCCCGTGCCCCCGCCCGTGCACTTGCCCCCGCTCCCGCCCGGGCCTCATTGCAGTTCATAGCCGATACCCTGAATCGGCTAACCCTCACGGTGGACGACATGGGGCAGTACATGGAGCAGATGGATTGGACGCTACAACGTCAACACCATGACATGACGGCATTCTTCCGCGGCATCAACTACGTCCCGCCGCCCTTTGACACCACCTTCCTTGGCCAAAACTATGAAGGCGAGGACAAGGAGGATAACACCTATGCTCCGTCCTCCTCCCCCGACGAAGCCGACTTTGAGGACGCGGTCGACGGGGATCCCATGGACGTTGAGGACGACGAAGAAGACGATGACACCGAGAACGAGGACGCTGATGCTTAGACTCTTCCTTCTCTCCTTTCCCTACTTTAATTTCATTTCTTTTAACTATTTCAATTCCGTTGTATTCCGCATTTTCTCCTTTTTTAATGAATAAAAGTTTACTTTTAAACTCTAAAGTTCACTTTTAATTCTTTTTGTTAATGTCAAAAGGGGGAAGATATCAAGGTAATGCATAAATTGAGGGGGAATTGTTTTTAAAATAAAAATGGCATCTATGAAGGGGGAACATTTTTTTTAAGTGTCAAAACAATCCTCATATGCATAACCTCATCTCGTTTGCCATTATCAAAAAGGGGGAAATTGTTGAAACACGGGCTTGTCACGTTTTTCGTACTAAAGCCGTGTTTGTTCTTATGACAGGTTTTGATAATGCCAAACCGCCGTGATCAAGTCGAACATTGAATACACAAGGCGAAGAACGAAGATAACAGCAAGAGCTAAACGAAGACCAAGAACGAAGACCTTAGTCATAGTATTGAGTCGGTCTCTATTGTGATCAAGACCTACCCAATCTTTACACCTTGGCTCTTTAGGCTAAAATCTCTCATTGCATTTCTTACATCATAAAAATGTTTTTCAAACTTGTTTAAGTCATTAAAAAAACTTGGTGTTCGCCCAAACCAAAAACCAAGCCATCCAGTGTTCGGCTTTCAGAAACCAGCGTTCGGCTTTGGTTTTTGGCATCCGAACCAACCAAGTGGTTTTCAGCATTTTATGATCTGGTTTAACTCTTTGGCATGTTTAAACGGTTCTCCAACAAAAACACTTTGAAAACCATCTTTCGCTTTTAGTCGTTTGACAAAAACCATGCAAAACGACGTAAACTTGGCTAGCCGTGGTTTTTACTCAAATTACGTGGTTTTTAAAGTAACTCACTTGATTTCTTAGCCAAATACATCAAATAAGTGTTTCAAACACTTGGTTTTTATTATGGAGAACTTTGGATTTTTCGGTCGGTTTTTGCATCGGTTGGCAAGGCCGTGGTTAAGGCAAAAATCATAGGTTTTTGGCTAACCACCCACTCAACGATGGGAAGAACATCCCATCGATGGGTAAGCGGCCCCTTAGCCAAACCAACTTCCAGAACCATGCCAAACAGCGATGGGAAGTTCTACCCATCGCTGTTAAAGCCTTGGTCCAACATCAACACAAGGCAGAACGACCTTACCCAGCGATGGGAACTTTACCCCATCGATGGGAACCCAGCGATGGTAAGCATAAACCATCGATGGGAAGGCATGACCGTTGGAAGTCATTTAAGGTTGATTCTTTCCTTGTTTGGAAGTCAACCTCCCACCCAGCGATGGGAAGCTTGTACCCATCGATGGGTAGGTGACCGTTGGCTTCAAAACTGAAGGAAAATTGGCCTACCAGCGATGGGTAAGGTCCATACATCGCTGGGAAGCCAATATCCTGCAGATCCTAAATTTGTTCAATCCCATAAATCAAGCCAATCACCCCTTTAATGTATTGGTCCGTTGGAGCCTATTTTGGCACTATAAAAAGGGGTGTTTGGGTCTGCTTTTCAATTCAATTCACTTCACAATATTCATATTATCATTGCATTCAAACAACATCATTTTTCATAGCTTTCTAAAGCCAATTTGTGAAGTTTGAGTTGTTCTTGAGCGTATATAGTTTACTCAACATCTACTCTAAAAGAGAGTCTTGTTCTTGAGTGTCTTAGTGTTGTATACACGTTAAGGGAAGCTTGTTTCCCTTGGTTTTACGAAGGAAAGGTATTTTCCTTCGGGTTGAAGTCTTGGAGTGCGGTATCTCTGAGCAAGTGTTGTTGAGGCTCGTGGGACTCGAGTTCTCAGGTTGTAACGATTTGTTAAGCACCCGTAAGCTTAACGGAAGTAGTGTAGCTCGAGAGAGTCTCTCGGGAGGCTGGATTAGCCACAAGTTGTGGTGAACCAGGGTAAATCTTGGTGTGCTCCCTTTACGCTTTCTACGCTCTTTATCTTTCACATTCTTAATTTTTTATTCCTGCGATTTCTACGATCAAACGCTATTCACCCCCCCCTCTAGCGTTGGTCACTTATTCTAACACAAAGGGGGACCCTGGATCTAGAAATGCAGTTTGACAGACTCCAGGCGCAAATCTCCATCCTAGAGTCAAAGGTCTCAGCTTCAGAAGACAAGGTACGGAGTCTAAAGACTGAGCTGGTTGAAAGGGAGTCCCGGATATCCAAGCTGGAGAATTCCCTCCATGATGCCAAGCAGGAAGGCGCCCAAGGATGGATGAACTGGAGAAGACAATAGCTGCTCATCAAGGGGAGGTGGCTGCCCTGACCACCCACGCTGAGGCCCTCTACGAAGAAGGGAAGTTTGATATGCAACACTGCATCTATGGGGCGATCCAGAGCGGTCTTCCGGAACACCGATCCTTGGATGACTTCATCTCTTACTATGGGTTACCTCTTCCTCTTCCTCCCCCAGATTCTCGTGCCAAACCGGGATCCTAATTCCTCAATCCATTGTTGTAACTTCTATTCTGTAATATTTAACCAGTAACAACTTGACAACGCTTGATGTGTTTCCGTCCTTGTTGACTCCTTTCGCTAATCTAACTATTCTCCTTTTGGACTTCTTATTTCCCTTTAGGACTTAGCGAAAATTCTTTATACGCCTAGGCTTTGGGCTTAACCGCGTTTACAAAGTACTGTTGTGTTTTTTTTATCACCGCGTTAAGCGACTGGCCTAACTTAATTACGTCAGGCCCAATCACCTTAGCCCAGCAATGAAACGGTACAACCCTAGCTTCCCTTGGGAATCCGCAACTGTTTCTCCAATCGGATAAGTGCTTTGATTCTGCGTTCCTTGCACTTCTCCTCTAGGATTACTCGCCTATTTAAGGGGCTAGGCTGAACCCCTTCACAATCACAATCAAATCCTCAACATGGCTGATAATGCCAACAGAGTTGTCTTTATTGATCTTACTATTTCCGATTCTTCTTCGTTGGCATTCCCCTCACTTGGGTCCCCAACACCTGAACTCTCTTCCGGGCCTTCTTTCGCCTCTGAACAATCGGTGACTTCTCCCTTACCCAGGGAGGAGAATCACCCTCATCTCCCCCAACTGGCATCAGGGGGTGCTCTTTCGGGTTCCAGCGCCCCTCCTAACGGTGCCAGAACGAAAGTTTCTTTTGGCTGTCCTGGCACGTCCCGTCCGCAGAAGAGATGCAATCCCCACTCAAGAGCTTCCCGGTTGGTCTCTGGCGCGAGGCCTTCCTCCCAAGGTTCTCCCTCTCCTCAGCAGTCATATGGACAGCACCCTGAGGAGTGGGGCGATTATGACATGGGGGGAAACAGGCATCCGTCTACCCGGAGGGAAAAGGACGGAACCTTCCAGGATCCGCCTCCCCCTTTGGCCTAGGCGGAATGATGTCGTAAATCCTCCTCTCATGTCTCATCGTTCTCCTTTTCCGCCTTCATGGAAGTGACTGAAGGGCGTCCACGGGGAATGGTTTTCAATCCCACCCATTGGTACCCTTTCGTTTTCCGTTTCTTTTGAAGGATGCATCAGGAGGATGATGGGTTCTCTCCACACCTTCTCGCTCCGGCATTCTTTCTGGTCCAGGCGGGGCAACAAGGGTCAGCGGATTCGCTCCCTCTACCACACCGTTCCTCCTGGACCCTTGAAGTTCCGTTTCACCTTCATAATTTCTTTTTTAGTAGTAGGATAAAAGTAGATCAGGGACAAAGTTCCTTGTTGTAACCCAAAAGAATGTAATTTTCTACTTGAGTTATTTAATGAAAATCTTTATCTCCCGTCTCTTTAATGTTTTATTGTTAGATCAGGGAAAAGGTCCATTGTTGTAACCCAAAAATGCAGATGGGCCCAATCAACCGACCCATGCACTTAAGTGGCGAAAAACCATGGTCAAACATTGGGAATCTTCAACCGCTTCATTCACCAATCGCTTAGTCTTTCACGTCTTTTAACCACATTCATTATTTCCCAACCATCCCTTCCCCCTCCACTATAAACGGGAAAGGGTGGTTTGCTGCTAGTTCATCCCTTTTTGATTTCTTTGCCATGGCGAGTAAATCTTAGAGTGAAGTCGTCTCGGATGATGATTTCTTCGCCTCTCCGGCTCAATCCAACGACATGGCTGGGCTGAGTCACGGCGAATTCTCAAGGCTATATCCGGCACTCCGTCTTCCTGCACCATCTCCTCTTAGTCCACCCAGGCTTCCATCCGGGAGGATAGACTGGGACTCTATGACCCTCCAAGACTTCGCCTTGTACCAGAGGATGCGCAGGGCTAAACTTGGGTGTTTTTTTCCGTCTATCGAGGCGGAACCTTCACGTGAAAGTCGGACTACTTCTCCAAACTTGCTGAAGTCTCTCAATGGTGGTTCTTCATTGGGAGCACCAGCTCCCCGTCCTGGGACGTGGGAAGACTATGACATAGAGGAGGCGGCTGATTCCGTTGCGTGCCCCTTGTCGAAGGGAAGGAGCCCATGGAAGGGGCCCCCACCTCCTTCCTGTTGACTGCATGGATGCAATAGGCCCTCCTTCAGTGCCTAGCCCCATGCAAATTAAATCTCTTCTCCTTGTTTTATTACAGGAGGCATTCACTTGTTGGGTCCAGGAGTTTTTCCTGCGTCCCATACTAAGGAATGTCCTTCAATTTTAGACTAGGAATTAACGTTGTAATTCAGAGATATAACCTCCGAATTAGCAATCGATGTACTCCCCATTTTCTGGTTTTTTTATCTCATTAGGAACCATAATTGTGAACCAGGAACGTAAACTTTGGTCCATCAATGTGGTCCTTAATGTTTTTTTCTTTGCACTTTTACTAATGCAAGTACATATTTCATTCTCTGTATACAATCTCATCCCCCGGGGTTTGGACATGCCATGGGAACTTACCTCACCTGCTCCTGACCTCCTTTCTTCCGGGTTAAGGCATTATCTTATCTACCTTGGATCAGTTGAGCTCCAACCCTCGAAGTTTGCTTGCTCGATTGATCTGTGCTGGTGGAGTACTAAGCTTCAGCCCTCGAAGTCTACTTGCTGTTCTTCCCGAATTCCAGGTTGTAAAGGCCCTCAAAGTCCAATCCCAACCCTTCCTTCATTTTTGACGGAGGCATAAACTTATCTACCTCGGGGGGGCATAAACTTATCTACCTCCCCTATTTTTAGCAGGTGGAATAAACTTATCTACCTCCCTGTAAT